GTGTCCTGCCCGCATACCTCATCATCAGAGTGACACACAGACTCTGCATCAGCCTCCTCACTAGACCCGATTTCTGAGTTGGAGTCGCTCTCTTTTTGTGCTCTAGCATATTTCCACTGCCGCGCCGTTCTGCCTTGTGCGGGAAGGCTCTTTTGCGTGACATGGGCACCCTATCATGGGTGGTCATGGGTGCACCCGTCATATTGGTTCTGGAGGCAGGGGGGCTTAAGTGCCTGGATGTGGCGGTGGCCTTTTTAGGTGTGTCCCCTGTAAGGTCTGGAGTGGGACGCGCAAAGCGCATCGGTGTGGCCGAACCTTCTGCGGCTAAAGGGTGCACAAGTAAGGCCTGTGATATGGTTTGGGAGAGGGCAGAGGACATGGAGCCCATAGCGGCCATAATGGCAACCGAAACTGAGTGCTGTAGCGCCAAGGACTGGACTTCATCAGGCTTAGACATAGGGTCTACTGCAGAAGAAGGGAAATAGAGCTCAAAGAGGGGTTACCCAAAACTTGGGGTATGTCCATCTCCCCAGGGGGAAAAAGGGACTGGCAGGCACTTTGGATTTGGGCATAGGAATGCTGTGAGATTTCCCCTTTAACTACAAATATATATAAAGTACTGTAAGGAGGGAAAATTTAAAAGTAAAATGACAAAACAGACTAGCTACACCTTTAAGAAGGTAGAGATAGGGAGCTCACCAGGGTCCAGACCGGCAGATAGGAAGAAAAACATAAGGCAGAGCAAAGAGTCAGAAGGACAGGATGTCACAAAATGTCTGCCAGCAATCTAGTGAGATTCACGGCAAAAAATCATATGAATTCGTCAAATTAAAGAGCCTTACGTTCGGCAAAAAAAAGACGAATTCATGTAAACAAATAGATGAATAGAATGAATAGGAAAAACAGACAAACGAGCAAACCATTCTAATAAAATTAGTCGATCGTGGCAAACAGACGAATGATGCTATTTACCAGTAAAACTAACGAACAGCATGGTTTTGTGATGAATTTAGCCGAACTGGCTTGATTCATTCAAGAAAAACAGCCGAACGGATAGGAGAAACAGGTGCAAAAGGGCGCCAAAAAGACGGGGAGAAGGAGCAATGGAGCCACAGACAGCAAGAAGGAGATAAGGCAAACGGAGAAAAGATAAGAGCAACAAAAGGAAGCTTAAGGGAGAGGGATACAAATAGTAATACCCCAAAGAAGGTCTGGAACCCTGGGCTCAAAGGTAAAAAACAAATGCATAATAAACATTAACCGGAGAAGAATAAATAGAAGTACAAATTCGTAATAATATGAAGAAAATAAAGCAATAATGAGTCTACAACAAATAATAACAATAACATTTAAAAAAGCATTAATAAGAATAAATCAATGATAATTAAGAAACATATATATGGAAGAGAAAATTTATCATGTACTTATCTGTTTGGTAGCAGCAAAGAAAGAGGAGATATGTGGGGAGGTGCTGACTATTATACTGGGACTTGGTATGGGTGTGGCCTATCACTATGGTTACCATTTTTTCTTACTATTTGTATCCTTTGCTGCTATTGGTGGACAGTAAAGAAAGGGTTAAGCAATATGAGTCTCTTGACATAAAATTGTGTAATTTCTTGCTAGACTAATTATCTCCTAAATACAGAGAGCATAACATAGGAAAACCCCATATCAGGTAAAAAACCATCCCCGAACCCCTACATGTCATACATCCCCAGATAGCTCTTGTTGAAGCTCCAAATCTGGAAAAATGGTGCCCTGATCCATGGAGGTTTGGGGAAACGTCACCCCGCTCGAACAGCCCTGGCCGAATATGCCAGTATTTTAACAGGGTCTCCCCTTGATGGAGTTCCAGGAGAAACACAGACAAGACCTGCTGAAGAGCTTGGAATACTCTGGCTCATTGTAGTGGTACACCATTTCACCACCCCAAGTCCATGCCTTCCAATTGTCCCACTCTCTGCAGTACAGTTGCGAGTTTGGAGTGCTTTAAGGAACTATCCTGGGCAGGGCCGGACTAGGGATACAAAGCAGCTCTGGAAAAAAAATCTATGCAAGCCCCCATAAGTCATTGCGCCATATATTGTTGCATGTAATATGTAAGGCTATGTCTTGCCACCCCAGATGATTGAGTAATATATATATATTGCTTTTTCTAATATAAAATATTGGTCCTTTCAGAGTAAAATGTTTAATTATACAGTAAGCATACTCACATGCAGACACAGACAATCTCACTGACACACACAAGCTCATTGATACAAAGCCTCATAGACAAACAATCTCACTGATATACATAAGCTCATTGACATAAAAACACAAGCTCACTCACTAGCAGGCACACACACAGCTTAATGTAGTGGTTCTGGTGTCTACAGCCTGTCCCTGCAGGCTTTTTAATGTAAACACTGACTTTTCAGACAGAGGTGCTTCCTGTGTCAGTGCGCATTGGCTGAGATCATCAAGCTTGATGATCTCAGCCATAGAGGCAGGGCCAGTCGAGGGGAGACCAGCACGAGGTGGGGGAAAAAAAAAGGTGAGTAAAAACACTATTTTTTAAAACACACACAGACACACACATACACCATGACAGACACAGACACACACATATACCATGAAAGACACACACCATGACACACACACACACCTTACCAGACACACACTATGACACAGACACACACACCATGACACAGAAATACACACACACCATGACATACACACACCTTGACACACACACCATGACACAGACACACATACCATGACACAGACAGACAGACACACACACACTCCCACTTACAGACTGACACACATAATTGTTGCTACCTGTGGGCAGACAGATAGGTGTGCTGGTGGCAACAGGGAGAGCTCTGATAACAGTCGCAGGGGGAGCTAGCTGTTCTGTCTCTGCTCCCCAGTGCGCAGCTTAATGAGACCGGGGCCGGAATATGACGTCATATTCTGGCCCCGGTCTCATTAAGAAGTGTGCGAGGGCAGGGGAGCAGAGACAGAACAGCCAGCTATATGACCAAAAGTGCCCTGATTGATTGGCTAGTAAGCCGTCAGAGATTTTACCTATTTACCTGCTGGTTGTAGCGCTAGAGCTGCCAGAGGACAATTCACTTGCAAAAAGCAAGTGACTGCTAATTTATTAGCAATGCAGGATGCATTCGGCTTATATTCGGTCGCCATACACTCATTGAGAAATATCAGATTCCTGCATTAAATTTGCGAATTGCCAATGCAGTCAGAATTCAGTTGATTTTAATTCCATTCGCACAAAATCTGGTGTTTGGTGAATCACCCTGTAAGAGAGAGACATAGTGATACAGAGAAAGGCAGAGAGCACTAAAAGACACAAGAAAAGAGACAGAAGCAACACCAGAAGGGGGAAAAGCAGATAATTGCTAATAGGGTTAAATGAAATTGCTATTATTTATATAGTGCCAGCAAATTCCGTAGTGCTGTACAATGGATGGACTAACAGACACATAATTGAGATCAGACCACTGGACATACAGGAACAGAGGGGGTTGAGGGCCCTGCTCGATGAGCTTACATGCTAGAGGGAGTGGGGGAATTACATAGTTTGTTAGAGAAGGGTTTATTGAGTGCTTAAGTGCTTGATAGGACTTTTTTGACAGTTGCAGGAAAGGAGTCATAGGGTGGGGGATGAGAAACCTGCTATATGTGAGTTATTTTACCAAAATGGTGGATTTGGAGGTCAGAAGGTGGAAAAGCTGTTAAGCTTGTTATGTAGGAACCCCCAAAGGTAACAATTTAAAATGACTTTCACATGCAATATTAAAAATAAGGGGTTTATTACTAAAATTAGATCAGTATAGATTAGTAGAGCCGTATAGGAAATGCAGCAGGTGCATACAGATATTGCAGATGGGAAAATACAGAAAAAGATAGTAGTTTCCACATTTTGCTTCATGTATCCATCGCACAACATATATATTTTTTTAACTATACATAAAAACAGTTTGCAGACCTGCACTACATACACCACATGTAATTTACACAGGAAACAAAAGTGTTTAATGTGTACTCCCTAATACTGTCAATAATAGCTAAAACAGTACAGAAAAACAAAGGTGGATTGCATACCTGCACACTTTTTTGTTTTCCTCTGCTTACATTCAATTTTGCATAGACTTTTATTTAAAAAAATTAAAAAAATCACTATCATGTTTACATACACAGGTCATTAAACATTATTATTATTATTATTTTTTTTTAATTCTTTATTTTCCGTACATATAGGCGTAACACACATGCTTGTGGTACCCCAAAGGCATTCCACTCGCTTATATCAGTAACATTTGTGACAATGGGGTATTTAAAGACATTTGCACATTTTTATATTAAAAGTGAAAGGAAGTGGTAGTATGACATGAGTAGTAATGAAACACGAGTAAATCAGGTACATTAGGCACAACATTGCTGCGACTGCTGACTTTGTGTTAGTCGTTTTTAGGAGCCATGTTAAACTTATATCTGAAATGTATACATATGCAGTAGACACAAGTTAAATTAACTGTTATATTGCCATACATGTAGGGGTCTCGTTTTGACATTAATTTCAAGCTAGGTGACCAGGTACCTGTCTAGTATATGCAATGCAAGATTATACCTAACGTTATTGCAGGCAAACTGTGAGGGTACATTTAGCTCATGCCTATGTAATTCACTGTATATAAGTTTTCACCCCTAGTGGTCGGGGCCACCCAGGCTGTCTCTGTGGAAAGCATCTTCTTCTTGGTGGCCCCGAGGCAGCACAGTCAGGAGAAGTCCCAGCACAGTCCGATGTCTGCTCTGCTATTTCTGTGTGGCTGAAAATATGGGTCCAGCAAAGCGAGCGCAACAGGTTTCCAGACACAGTATATCTCCGTTTCTCAGTGGATTCTCTTGGGCTACAGCCACAATGTGTTGGACTTGCCTCTGTCCCTGCTGTCAGCCAGAGCAGGAGGCTTGATGTTCCCCTCGTGGGTTTGCCTCTTGCTGGTTCTTCTTGGGATGGTCCAGGTGGGGAGTGTTTGTAGGGACCGTTCTCACACGTGTGTTTTGTTTAGCTGCATGTTCAGTGTCCCCGGGCGGGAGTGTTTGTTGCGTGGGGTTTCGGTTCCCCAGCGCTGCCATTGTAATTTGCTCGCGTGGGTCTCATGGGCATTATGGCGATGGCTTGGTTGGCCTCGGGGGGAGGTGAGTATTTCTCCACTTTGCTTTACTGTTGGGCTGGGAGGCAGGAGCCACTTTGTCAACTGTGGTCGCTGGGAGGGGGCAGGTCGTCCACTTGCCCCTCGCGCACATGGCACCCGCCTGGTCCGGGCCATGTGGTGAGGACCGGGATCAGCCCCCCGGTCCATGGGGGGGGGGGAACAGGGCCGGACCCCTCTATGATTGAGCCTCTGGTTGGGGTCTGTGGCGTGGGATAGCGGGGCAGCGGCCGTCTGCCCCACGCATCATCGGAGAAGGCCTCAGTTTGGGCGACGTGAGTCTCTCCCCCAGGGGACTGAAGCCCGATAAGCCAGCCTCTCCCTGGGTCCAGCAGTCCCCTTTACCTGGGCCCTCTCGCTGTCGGTCTGCTTTGGGCGAAAAATCTTGTTTTATCATGCTTTTGTGATTAATCATAGATTTATTGCAGGAGCCGCTCCTGCTTGCGACCGTCCAGCTCGGCGGTACGGCCCTGCCATTAAACATTTTTCTTCATAAAAATAAATTTTTGATGATGTGACTGGATGCAGTATGAGTCATCTTCTATAAAGTTGTAACACCATACAAAACAACCTTGTAAGGTGAGCATTGTAAGTTTATATATATAATGCAAAATGAAAGGGACACACTATAACCACCAGAACAACTATATTTGAATGTATTTTTTTCTAGTGAGTATAGTCAATTCCTGTAGGTTTTTTGCAGTAAACATGGTCTTTTCAGATAAAATGCAGTGTTTACATTACAGCTTAGGGATATTTTTACTGGCCACTCCTTAGATGGCTACTAGAGGTGCTTCCTGGGGGCAGTGCTGCACAGTGTGTAGCATGGATATTCAGTGTCTCTACCCTCTGCATGGAGACACTGAACTTTCATAATAGAGATGCATTGATTCAATGCATTTCTATAAGGAGGTGCTGATTGATCAGCCCTCTGTTCTGATCTGCCTCATTGACAATCTCAGCCAATCCAATGCTTTCCTATTATGAAGCATTGTGATTGGCTGAGATCACCACTTCTGATGATTTCAGCCAAGGAGGCAGATCAGGGGCAGAGCAAGCACCAGCAGACTAGAATAACTAGACAATTTTACTATATTTAGGGAGGCAAAGCAAGGTAGTGTTTTTAACACTATAGGGTCAGGAATACATGTTTGTGTTCCTGATCCTAAAGTTTTGCTTGATTGTGCAAAACTAAAAAACAAAATGCAGTGTAAAAATTAAACAATTAAAGTGATATAGTTTTGATGTATACTCACAATGCATATTATAGACCTGCTCTACATCAAATAAAAAATGTATTATTAAGTGAAACTGCTATCCAAAACATTCGCAAATGTATACTTTCCTCTGGTCACCTCCAAATGGGCATCTGAAGATGGTGGGCGAGGTGGGACGCTCAACCCAAAAGCAATCAGGTCTAAATGCCAAATAAACACTGTATTTTTTCAATTTTGTGTTTTTTCATCTAATTAATTTAGCATTATATATATATATATATATATATATATATATATATATACTCAATGCTCTTACTACAGTATAATTAAATACACTTAAAATTAGTGTAGAACCCACTGATATTGGAGTACTGTGAAATAGTGGTGGGCTTAATACAAAATAGCCATACGGTGGAACTGAATTCCCATATTTGTTTGCTGAGGTGATTTTAAGTAGCTTTGTAAAATTATTCATTTTATTTTTGTGTGTGCGCTGTTCCTTAACCCCTTCCCTACCTCGGACGGACCAATATTAAATCCCCACTTACCTGATCGCTGGCAATTCCCCTGGCTGCTCAGGCAGACCCTCTTGCCTGATCCGGCCCTCCCGTGCCATGTGATCGCAGGGTCCTCGTGATCACATGGCCAGAATTGCCGACTTGAGCAGTGCCTGCAGGGGGCCTGTCTGAGCTCTCAGGCAGTCCCCCCTAATGCCTGCAAAAAAGTTTTACAAGTTTTAAAAGTTATTAAACAGTTTTAAAAAAGTAAATAAAAGTACTTAGATCATATATATATTTAGACGAGCTAGGTGTAGCGAAACGCGCGCGTGAGAGGACTGTGGTGTGCTGCACGTGTTGGATCTTTAGTGCAGCACACAGACTGGCGACCGCGCTGTTCATATCCTATATTTTCATTTATTACATTTAATTTTTGCAGATTTTACTTTCTTTAGATCTATTTATCTATCAGATATCTGGGGGGTTGGAGCTAGGTGCCCTCGAAGGCACGGGACACATACTTATAGAGGGTATCATTTTTTCTCATATTGTTAATAGCTCTCTATACACATTGTGTGCTACCAAACAGATACCTTGTAGCACCGTCTATTGCAACCTTATTTACATGTGTTTCTCTCCTCTATCCTGTTCCTCCTAGATGTCTTTATGATTGCTTTACTGTCGGTTTAGTTTATATACACTGTGGTTTATTTACATATATACTCTGTCTATCCAGCTTACTAGCAGAATCTCTTTATGCAGACTATCGTTCTACTATTCTAAGATCTATTAATCTATCAGCTCAATATCGATCGAATAATTTTTTCTTTTTTTGCTGTGATTTATGAAAATCTACCAATATTAGCTTTTTTTTTTTTAGCTATTTAGAAGACCTACACAGTCCATTAGCATGTTATTGATTTTTAAAGAGACAGACCTCATAATCGATTTACTTATTATCAGACAGATCTTTTAGTTTGGTATATTATTCATTACTATGGATAACTATTCTCCATACTGATTCATATATATATATAATTTTGGATAGGACATATATGGTCCATCCTTCTATTATGGAGATTTAAAGTGCCAGATTTAATATATTCACCGATCCATTGGATTGGTATTCTGCCTCTTTAGCCTGGTATATTACCAGCCACAACTGACAGGAATGGCTTTCACATTCTGATCTGCAACTATATTTTTTCTTTTATTCTATCTAGACGATTTATATTTTTCTTTATAGATCCGTCTAGCAACTATTTTAGATTTATTTTTTGGTGTTTATATGGTAGCACGTATTTGGGTCACATATTTGTTTTGCTTAATAAACTTTTATTATTTTTGTTTTTAGTGGCTTTATCTGGCCTTTATAGTAGGCTATTTGTTGGCTAGCTTGAATTTCGTTGATGCTTATATTTTGCATCATGAATTAGATACACTTCATTCTGTTCTCTTTATTCTTCATTTGGGGTTACCCCCCACTTTTTCTGTGTATCTAACTTGGCTCAATCTATTCAGTGTCCCCAAAAGGTTACATGAGTTGTGAGTGTGAATGAACTCACATTTTTTAGAGCCTTTTCCAGTTGTAAGGCTCTAGACTTTCAGGCGTCTGTGTCTTTAAGGGTAGATCTCACGACCCCTCTCTCAAAGGAAAAGTGCGTGTGTTCCTCTCCAAATCATATGTAATAGACACAGATAATATGAGCTAAATGCAGTACCTTTAGATAGTGATTGTAAATGCAGGTAAAATAGTAAGTGCTCACCTCGTTTAGAGCCTTTTGGTAACTGGCTTTAAGTGTATAGGCTTAGTGTCAAGTGGAAACACTTTGCAGGATGCAGTTGGAAGGATAAAACCAAAATTTATTACAGAAAAAAGAAATATAAAAAACTAGTATTCTAGAAAACAAAACATGATAAGAACATTTAAAAACATATAAAAACATTCTGTAATAATTTTTGATTTTATCCTTCCAACTGCATGTTGAGTGAGAGTGTGTGTATGAGTGTATAAATATGTCAGGGTGCTTCTGTCAGTGTGTGTGTGTGTGTGTGTGTGTGTGTGTGTGTGTGTGTGTGTATGTACACATCTGTTTATGTGCACCTGTGTGTCAGGGTGTGTGCATGTATCAATGTTTGTGTGTGTGACAGGATGTGTGTGTATATGTCAGTGTGTATCTATGTATCTGTGTGTTAATGTGCATGTATATCTATGCAAGTATGGATGTATGTGGTAGTGTGTGTGCATACATCCAAGCAGTCAAACACTAGCACAACATACAAACACTCCTGTAATCTTACACAAATATTACATACAAACACACCCCTGCATTCAAACTCCCCCAAAAATATACAAAAACACCCCTTCACTCAAACACAAATACTTCACACAATTTTACATCCGCATTAAAAAGTGAACATTACATACAAACACACTGCTGTATTAAAACACAAACTATATAGAAGCACCCCTTCCAACACCAACACTGTACATTACATTATAGGGCCAGTTAATGCCGCAGCGCTGTACAACCTAGAAATTCGACTTGGGGTCATTGAAAAAAAAATTGAAATATTATGGGCAACTTGAACCTAAAAAGTTTGGGAAACTCTGTATTATACTGATAATATCAACGGTGAAATGGCAGTGTATGTGTGAAAAATGCAAAAAAAATAAACTAATATAAATGCTTATTTTGGCCAGGGTTTGTGACTAAGTGGCTACTAAAAGAAAAAGACTGGACATACCCCATTTTGAATACCGTGGGTTGTCTACTTTTACAAATGGTATGCCATGATGGGTTTAATTTTCATTCCTGGGCTGCTATACGGTCTCAAAGGCAACATAGCCCCAGCAAACCAATCTGGCAAATGTCAATGTGCAAACATGGAAAAGAGTAAAGCCCTACATTTGACTCCTGTAATTTTGCAAAAACCCATAAAACCTGTACATTGGGTGCACTGTTGTACTCAGGGGATGTTGCTGAACACATATTGGGGTGTTCTTTGTCAGTAACACATAACAGGAACTGAGAATCCATGCCTAAAGTACAATGTGAGAGAAAAATAACAAAAAAATTACTACCAAAACATTTGACAAAGACTGGTGGTAGAATTAGTGCATGGAAAGTGTTAAAATGCCACCATTTGAAATACCATAGGGTGTCTACTTTTAAAAAATATATGGTTTGATGGGGGTAAATTACATTGGCAGGCTTTCATAATGTCCCAAATAGGACATGGGTGCATGATGACCAGCTGTGAAAATTCCAAGTTGGAAAACTGGAATGCGCACCCTCCAAATAAGGTCATTGGTCTCCAGAGTGTCACGGTAGTT